TGGTAGAAATAATAAATTTTAATATAATCTTTTTTYGTTATCTGTTAGGTTATGCATGTTTTAAAAAGTACATAGTTGGAAAAGGTTATTTCTGTTTCTATTTGAATAATTTGTTATTTAACATTTTTTTAATAGATTTGGAAAGAAATTGGCCCTTGACTTGGACCAAGTTTAGAATTGCCCTCCCCCTGTGTAACTGAGTTTGAGCCCCTGGAGGCAAGATCAAACCTTTGCATCATAATGCCTTTTCTCAGGGGTTCTCCAAGGCTCAGTGTTGGACCCTTTCTATTTGCAATATGCACCATGTCTGTGAGCCACTTCATTCATTTCTATGAGTTTATGCAACAATGCTGTTCAGATGGCACTCAGATCTAGCATTAGACTTAGGTGATATCAATTGTTTTCATACCGCGGTACAAGTTTTACAAAATACTATCATRGCGCCCAAGCATGAGTGTCGAGCTTCAGCTTTTTTTTTTTGCCAAATCCCAGCAGATGAAGGAACATCTTGTTTAGCCAAACCTTGCTAAGGCTGTTGTTTTTGCTATGTGCCATCTAGCTCATCCATCAAAACTCAATTTTTAGTTAACTCCATAGCAAGGACTGGAAAACTAGACCATCTGAGTTGTAGTTTAATTTGACGTAAACCTCTAAATTTGTATCCATGTTTGTGCAAGTGACTGTTGAAAATAAACATCAATGGTTACCTGATTGATACCTAAATTATTCCAGTCTATCTTTATTTTGTTCACTTGACCGGATTCTGCCCATTTTTGTTTTACAAATGGCAGCTTGAGGAACAGATTGCTCCAATCGAGTGCATTTGCTACCATAAAGTGCTTCTTCACAAATACAGTATGCTTTGTGTGTGCCGGTTGTGTCTGTGCTTGTGTGTTTGTGTGCATGTGTGAAATGGACGTCCACTTGAGGAGGTTTCAATGAAGACAGACGAGTGTCTGCTTCACTTTCCTTGATCACAAGGGTCTCGTTGGCGCTCCAAGGAAGTGTCCTGGAGGAGAGATGGAGTAGCTGCGAACTAATGCGCGACGAGGCTGATGGATGATTGTGTGTGTGTGTGTGTGTGTGTGTGTGTGTGTGTGTGTGTGGTATCATGCACGTGAGGCTGATGGAAAGTGATGGTAGGAGCCAGAATTAACGAGAAGGAAAATAAGCTGAGCAGTCTTTGTCCTCCTTCTACCTCCAGATTTCTTATTTCGACACACGTAGTGTACCTCAGGAGCCCAGGTCCAGGACTGACTCATGGGTCACTGAATCTWTAAAGGGCTTGTCGTGAGGCAGAGAATACTGTAATTTAGAGACTTTACATTAGTTTTTTGGTTTTTATAGGTAACAGTTAATAAAGCTATTTTTAAATCAGATATTCATAAATTGTTTGTAGAAGTCGTAATATTTGTGATGTATAATATGATAAATGCAGAATTGAAAAGTAAAGTAAAAATACTTTGTTACTTTACTTAAGGGGAACTGTTGGTAACCTATAGGGGTTCTCAAACTTTTTGGGTCTGGGGTCCCCTTGCAAGCGTGAAAAATGTCCAGGGACCATGTTAGCCCCTAAATACCGTGGGAATATTATTTTTGTTTGTTTTAGGGTTTGTTTTACAAGTGCATTGTTCCCCATTTGCAGTTTTTAAAATAAAAATCAAATGAACAATTTATTGAAACTTTTTGAGGACCCCCAATAGGGCTCTATGTTTTACTGTATCAATTGTTTTTCAGCCAACTTTTTACTTCTATTCCTTACATGTTCACGCAATTATCTGTACTTTCCACTTCGTYCATTTAAAAAATGTAAGGTAGAAAGTTCGTTCTCGTTTAATTTTGGGTTGTTTTAAAAAATAAAATCCTATCCAGATACTGTATGGTGCCTCTCAGAGTGAAAATAATTGTGGTTGCATGAGAAGTATTAATATTTACCGTTCCAACAGCCTATTGGTTTGTACGACCCATTACACCTCATGACACAAATCATGTCCCACTCCAGCAGGACTTGCAGTAGCCTGGCATGAAGCTGATCATGGCAGAGATATCTAAAAGGATTGTAGGTGTGAATGTGCSTTTTCATTTGGTACTTTACATTTTAAAAATAAACAGAACATAAATGGACATTTTTGCCACTACATATGCAGCATTGTGTTTTAAAGGTACAGTGTACAAGTTAGTGTTCAGCTTTATTGCTCCAGCAGGAGTTTTTTATTAAAAAAAAATTTCACTCTGTAGCAACGTTGCTACTAATTTTTTTTAACCCTCCTATCATCTTTGGGGTCAATTTGACCCCATTCAATGTTTATCATTCAAAAAATAGTAGTTAACTTTTTTCTTTTGCTTCACATTTCATGACTTTTCCTAATTTGATGRGGACAACTGATAAAACAAAATTTTCATGATGATTTTTTTCAATGAGCTGAACACATACTGTACTGCATGCATTGGTCGTCCTCAGGGGTCACTGTGACCCCGCGCTGTTTTAGCTGTTAAAACGTGTCTGTCAGTGTGTGTGACCCAACAKGACCACACCTGCAGGTGCAGATGATACATTTGAGTTGATATATTTTGTTTTATTTGTTATTTATTTTGATACTTCCCGCACCGTGGGCATGAATGTGTGTGAGTGTGACCTTCTGAACTCACACCTGTCAAAGTAGAACTGCTTTTTCCCGCACTGTGGAGGGTGGGGTTTTCCTGCAAGGACATTGGTAGTTCATGCAAAATCAGGGAGGAGCAAATATAAAAGCTTTTATCTCAATCCTCTATCCAAATCATTCCTCATTGTGCTYTGAGTATACCGCAATCTGCGTGCTCTCTCTTTGAAAATGTCTTCTGTAAAAAGGTTTACTGTCAAAGACGTTTTGGAACAGCTCTTGAACAGTGAAAGTGACTTAGARGAGATTGTCTCTGAGACAGAGGACTGTGTTCAGGAGGACCCTGATAWTGAGGAATTCTCATCTGATGAGAATGAGAGTKKYGACCCTCCTGTTGTCTCTCAACCACCTGCAGACATGAGCTCTTACAAAAATGGAAAGATACTATGGTCCCATTCTCCACTGAAACAGCAGGGTAGACGTAGCGCTAGTAATATTATCAAAATGGTTCCAGGGCCCACCAGATATGCAGTCAGCCATGTTGATGGCATCAAGTCATCATTCGAGCTCTTCGTAACACCRTCTAYAAAAAMATATTGTGCTTGGGATGACAAACTTAGAGGGGAAGTGTGTATATGGGGACAGTTGGAAAGACTTGGATGTAGTTGACATGGTCGTTCTGTGAGAGTCATGAATGTGCTCTCAACCTGATAGTTTTTCTGATGGTGGCGCTACAGTAAAGGTCCTATCCATCAGCACCAAAAC